CTAGAAATGAGAACTATCCACGCAAGATCTAAGACACATGAATTGACTTTAGCTCAAATCTTGTTCCAAAGCAGTTGCATCTTTTAAAGGGAAAAGGAGCCCTTTTGAAATCAGGAGTCAGGGAAGAGGAAAATTTGGGGTAGGCTGGAAACAAGGGTTAGAAATAAGGAGATTATTGATGGGATCTCAATGTAGTGTTCAAATGAGGGGGAAAGGAGGTTTGCAAAAATTAACCACCAATTGTGTGGCAGTCACGGGACTGTTGTGTTGACATGAGGTTACGGTGTGATGGTAGAAGTAAGGCCTGGCACATATTGTGCACTAAATAAGTGGGGTCATTGTTTATTACCCTTACTCAAGAAATGAGGCTACACGGGCTTGGAAGGGTTCGGTGAAGAGCTCAAGATCCCTCATAACTGTAACTCAGATCGGACTGCATGGCACATTTGAATCTTGTTGATACCATAAACTGGGTTAGATTCCATGGACCACTGACAGGATCCCCTACATTACATTTGTTAACTCCTTCCCATGCCTCTTTTCCAGTAATGATTGCTAATAACATGTTTAAGGTGTGATGGTCTTTGGACTATCTGCAGGGACGTCAAAGCTAAGATCTGGTATCTGGAACAGAAGGTGAGGTGTCTCAAAGAGCCCTCAGCTTTCTTAACTTCTGTAATATATTGAAGCTAATAAGCCAAGAAATTAGTTTGTCTTCAAGGTTGTCTGCTTCAGTGCCATCTGTAGCCCAGAAACATCTCTCTGCACTCAACATTCATTGCTTTGGAAGGGGAAAAAGTCAGAAAGTCTGAAGCACTCCACATTCTGACCTCCTTTTTCTTTACATGGTCTCAATGTTTTCATTTATGGCTAACATATATACATAAATACACTGAACAGGACCTGGAAACTGTAAATAAAGAAGAGTCAGGACTCCTCCAGTAAAAAGTCATATGGTGGGAGAACCAGGTGATACAGGAAAAAGCAAGGGACCTCCACCTCTTTTCCTACTGGATTAGTCAAGATAAGCTAGGCTTTGCTGCAATAACAAATTAATACTCAAATCTCAGTAGCTTAATACCACACAGGTTTAATTGTTGCTATGCCATCTAGAATATACATGGCCTCAGAGGACACCACAGCAGGAAAAGAGAAAGCATGGAGGTGGTAATGTGGATCTTAAATACCTCATTTGGAAATGATTCATGCCTCTTCCACTTACATGGCCTTGATGAGAACTAGTCACCTGATACAGCCTGACTGCAAGTTGACTAGCAGTCTTCAGTATGCTTATGAGAGAGGGATGGGCCAGACACTCAGTAGTCATCTCTGGCATGATGTATATAAAACCTTTTTTTATTTCTTCCTTCCTTTGTGTTCTACTGTGACCCATGATTCATCCCATTATCTTCTGCTGCTCCACCCACTGGGAAAACCTCTCCCCATCCTTGCAACTATCCATCTGTTTCTCTGTTTCTACACCTGGTAGCTGAGCATTACTGCTAAGCAGAGCAAGGGTTTTATAGCCCTGAAGGGTAGGGTGGCCTTTGGGCCTGCCAACTGAACTAAGGCTTTAACTGTTTTTCATTTAATCCTTAAAATAATTTCATTAGATAGTTATTATTATCCCCATTTCATAGGTGGAGAAACTGAAACTTAGAAATGTATGTAATTTTCCAAGTGATACAGCTTGTAAGTAAATAATACTGAACCTGAGTTTCATGTACAGATAGATGCTCCTTGACTACAATGTTATTATATCCTGGTAAATCCATCATAAGCTGGAAATTTCGTAAGTCCAAAATACATTATTAAATCGAACCTACCAAACATCATAGCTTAGCCTTGCCTACCTGAAATGTGCTCAGAACATTTACAGTTAGCCTACAGTTGGGCAAAATCATCTAATATAAAGCCTCTTTAATAATAAAGTGTTGAATATCTCATGAAATTTATTGACTACTATGCTGAAAGAGAAAAGCAGAGTGGTCGAATAGGTACTCACCATTAGCAGACATAGCTGAAAGCACCATCATAAAGTCAAAATCTTAAGTCAACCATTGAAAGTCAGGGACCATTTGTGCTCATTTAGTTTTTAGTAAACATTTATTGAGTGCAACTTAGTATTAATATGCAGTGCCTCATCCCCTCGAGATAAAGAACTTTATCTTTGGATTTGGATGGTCTTAGATTCTAGAGGGGAAAAGGTACTTCACTGCTCTGTGTCTCCGTTTCCCCATCTATAAAGCAATGACAATACACCACTTACTTCACAGGACTAATGTAAGAATTTAATGAGCTAATGCACAGAAAGTGCATAGTGCAATGCTAGCTTATCATAAGCACTCAACAAGTAGTAGCTACTGGAAAAGCCAACCAATAAATATATGAATACATTATGATGAAGGCTACGATGAAGGTAAATTCTGGATGCCATTGGAACACAGAGAAGGGAACTGGAAATCAGCTCATGGTCTGCTTTCTCTGACTGCGTGGTCCGTGAGACAGGTTTTGAAAGAAGATTGCAAATTATGTTGGACAATGTTGGGGGGTAAGGCAGAGAGGTCTTCTACGTGCAGGAGGTAGATGCAAATCACAGCAGGCAGGACAGCAAGCCACTGAACTTGGATAGGACAAAGGCAAAAGAACAATGGCCAGCAGCCAGTGTGAGCAGAAGAGGGTAGGAGCGGTCAGAGGTGATGCTGAAGTGACAAGCAGGGCCAGGCCACCCAGGACTCTGTATATAAGTATGTATAAGGACATTGTCTTCAGAGTGTGTATATATGTATTTGTAGGAACATCATCCTAAGACAGTGGGAGCCCTTGTCCCTTGGAGGTGCTTAAGCAGACTGCCCTTTTCAGGAAGGACACCCTAGTCACAGTCTAGAAAATAGATTGGAGAAGGAGGACTGAGGCAGGGACAAGGCTGCAGAATGCAAGAACAGTCAGGAGTCTGCTGATGGAGGCCAGGTGGGAACAAATGAGTCATCCTTTCTCTCAAGCCTTCTGTTTCTTTTTCTGACGTGAGACCAACAGCCCTGGTCTTGCATGCCTCAGAGCGTTGGGGGAAGAAAGATTTTAAAAAATAGCTTCTTACAACAGGGATTAGCAAACTTTTCCATAGAAGGCCATATAGTAAATATTTTCAGCTCTGCAGGCCTTACGGCCTCTGTCACAGGTACTCAACTTTGTCACTGTAGCACAAAAGCAAACCAAGAATGAGTGCAGCTGTGTTCCAATAAAACTCTGTTTATGGACACTGGCATTTGCATTTTCTATAATTCTGCATCACAACGTATTACTCTTCTTTTTAACTTTTTTTCCCAACCATTAAAAAAATGCAGAAACCATTCTTAGCTCACAGCACAGAAAACAGACAGTGGGGGCCAGATTCGGGCCAAGAGCCACAGTTTGCGAACCCCTGACTTAGGGTATACTTTGAAAATGGTGAAGCTCCCCACAATATTAAGGGAGGAATATAACAATTATGGTTTGCTGGTGGTTATATTTTATAGTATTCTATAATGTTGATCAAGCTTGCCATTTGTGTTATTTTTGAAATTATGTATTTCCTGTTTATCAGTGGTTCTGGAATGCCTTACTTCTCTCTCCATTTTGCATAAGAACTTTCTGCAGTTCTGTTGATGAATCACTAGAGAAATTTGCAGCCTCTTACCAAGCATAAGACACCTCCCAACCTCTTGTATCGTTTTCTTTAGAGAGGCAAGTGGAGAGTTTGAAAAGGCAGGAGCATTAAAGCCAAATAAACAAGAGGTTTGAACAAGCCTCTGCCAGTTACTAGTTTTGTGACCTTGAGCAAATTATATAAATTCTCTGATTCACCATTTCTTCATTCATTCATTCATTTATTCAGCAAATATTCACTGAGTCCCTATTATGTGCCAGGTACAATGCACAGGAGTGCAAAAGCAAATGAGACATGGTATCCGCCTTCAAGGACACTACAGAACTAAGCAGGAGGCATCCACTTATGATATAGTGAGGGAAGGCAAGGGTGTTATGGGGAGACAAAGGAGGGTATCTGTCCCAGCTTCGTTCGGTGAGACACTAAAGACTCCCTGGAGGGAAGGAGTTCTAAACTGACACCTGAAGAATGAGCAGTTGTCATCCAGGTGAAGAAGCAGGAGGGAGTATGTTCCATGCAAAGTGACTAGTCTGGGTTAGGCTTGCAGACAAGAAGATGAGAAGGACTGTTGATAATGGGAAGATATTTATCATGCTTGGGGCAGAGCAGGGAGTGTGGTGGGAGTGAAGAGAGATGAGACCAGAGGGGCAGCTGGGATCTCATCAGTGGGGGTCTGTGAGCTGGGTTAAGGGGTGTGAAGTTTACCTTGAGGACAATGGGAGGCGGGCACTGATGCATTTCAACTCAAGGGTGGAGAGTAGACTGAAGGGGAGACCAGAGATGAGGCTGCTTTGATGATTCAAGAGAGAAACACAAAGGTGGCTTGAGCTAAGTGGGAGTGAAATTAGAGAGAAGAGGGAAGCTTTAAGAGCTGTTCTGGGGTAGGATCAATGAGGCACAGTGATTTCTTATAAGTGGGAGGTCAGAGAAAAAGCAGGGGTAAAGGGTGACCCCCAGGTTTATAGATCAGGTAGCTACATGGGTGGTGGCACCATTTATGAAAAAAGAGAAGACTAGGGGAGAAGTTTGGGTGTGAAAATGACGGGTTTATTTATCATAATACTGACCTTTCTGGGTTGTTCCAAGCCTTAGAAACATTATATGTGAAGCACCTGGCAGAGTACCTGGCATGTGGTGGGTGCTTGTTAGATGGTGACTCTTACTCGGGTTTCATTTTTAAAAATCTATTTCAGGCCCTGTTTTGTTAGATCGTGATGTTCTTTTGCTGTTTAGTGTGAGCTCTTTGGAGCCACAAGAATTGCAGTTTTGTTCACCGTACCGCACGTTTTCATGTGTGTTTCTTTCTCTCCTTCTCTTCTGCATGCTGCCTGGGGACTGGCTTCCTTGTGGTCAGCACCAATGGGCAGCGCCCAGGTGACCCTGGGGACTCCACTCTGCCTCCTCACCACAGGTGATCACCAGAGCCCTGGGCGGGTGGGAGGGGAGTGAGAGTGACCCACACTCGGCGGGTCCTCCAGGCCAGGTGCACCAGAGAGGAACTGGCAGTCCTTTCACCCACCCACCCATCCATCCACCCATCCATCCACCCACCCATTCATCCGTTTGCCCATTTGTCCACCCACCCATTCATCCATCCCTCTATCCACTCATCCATTCATCCACTCTACGAATGCTTACTAAGTACCTAGTATGTGACAGGCACTGTTCTAGGCATTGAGGGATACAATGAGGAGGAAAAGAAGACATGTTTCTATGCCTTTCCAGGAGGAAAACAACCATTGACCAAAAAACTGCACAAATAAATGTGTGGCTTTGAGTGGAGCTACAGGGGAAAGGCGAATGGTGCTCAAAATGAACAAACACACCTGGAGCCAGGGGGGTGCTTTACAGCAGAGGTGACAGCTGAGCTGTGGTCTGAGGTTGGGAAAAAAGTTGACTTGACAAGTCTGTGCTTAGGACATGAGTACATCTGGCTCTGATCTCAGGTCTGCCATTTGTCCTGACAAATCCCTTAAATAGCGCTCAGCCCCACCTTTCTTATCTAAGTAGGAATAACAATACCTACCTCTAGGGGGCACCGTTTGCATTGTAGACTCTACGTGAGCAGCGTCCTCTGGAGTTGTGTTCTGAGACTAAACAAGATAATAAATGTCATAGGAGTGGGTATAGAAGTGCCCAGTCTAGAGTAGGTATTTGTTTGTATTAAATACCAGCCTCTTTCCTCAAGTACACTGTAGGCAGAGCTCATTTTACATAAACATTCTTCAAAGGATGCAAAGCCCATCCATGTCAGAAGCCAATGCCCGGTGTGGGGTCCTAGAGATAAAAGACAATCTGCTAACCTGGAGATCTCTTTATTGCAGGGAACCTTTCTTGTCAAGGGAAAGTTTCTTGGACATTTCAAACCTGTAACTGTCACCTCTCTTAAAGTCCTTGCCCGGGCAATGGCCTCCTCTCTGCAAGTCTCTGACTGGTCAGTTTGTCATGGTGGGAAGAAGGATGCAGCAGTCAGTGATGACATGAGTCTGGCCATCTGGTGCCTTCACAGTCCAGTCCCTTTCCCAAACTCAGAACCATCACTTTGGCGAATGCCCTGGACACCAAGCCTGAGATGAGGATTCTTGTGCAAATTATTTATTGAGGAATGTCCTCAGAAGAAAGAGAAAGAGGGAGATGGGATAGGGCAGGGGACAGAGCTGAGGGAGGGTGTGGAGACCTGCACCAGCCTGAGCCCACGCAGGGTTCTGGAGTGTTCACTGTACCACAGAGTTGGTCCCACCTTGAGGCAAGAGGGCCAGCATTTGTCCCATGGTGTCAGTCAGTCATTGGCTGTGGGCTGCCATGGAGTGCATGACGTCCCAGAGAAGTGGATCCCCTTTGCTTGCTGGCATTTCTCCAGGGAGGGAGGTATCTATGAGCCATTTGCAACCAGTACACACTGCAGCTGTAGAGTAGGTGCACCAGCCCAGTAAAGGAGATCTGGGCAGAGCCTCAAAAGCACCCATGTGACCCAGTTTCATCCCTGCCTTTGTGCTTCCACAGACCACCATAGCCCAACATGTCACTGCCAACAGCTCAGGAATTTCATCTCTGCCACTCATGGGCTATATGACCTTAAGCAAGTTGCATAGCCTTATTTCACCTGCAAAACTAATTATCACACTTACTTCATATCGTCATATTAAAAATTAAATTGAATCACTCCAGAGAGTGTGCTGTGCAGTAGTAGCACATAGTAGGTCTTTACCAGATGCCATTCCCCAACCCTACTCCATCACAGGCCCACCAGCCTCACCCTTCCCCAAGGGAACAGGAAGTTGCAGACAAACAGTGAGAGAAAAGTAACTCTCACCATGTGCCATGCCCAACTTATGGAGAAACAATGCCTTTCCAGAGTGTGTGTGAGCAGCCCCATTTCTGCAGGGCCACTGTTCTCTGAGCTCTGTTCAGGTCAAGCAGTCAGATCATGTTTTCTTTAAACAGAGTCGATTCCGTATCAGCGCGTGTGTTCTTACCTCTTGCCTTCTGAGGCATCTGAATGTTCCTCCTCTGACACGTTTATTTCACTGCGTTCCATTTATTTCCACACAGTCCTCAGCTTCATTTGATGGGTGAGATGCCCGCGAGTGTTTCTCTTTGAGCAGGCTGTCCCCTTCAAAGGGTGTTTTTGTTAATGTTTGTCCCCTGGTAGCAGTAATGGCTGATGTAAATAAAAGCTGCCCAGGTCTGAGTGATAGGAATATTAACCTGTACGTCCAGGCAGCCTCTTTTCATATCATCTCCAATTCGGACAGCTGCACAACCACGTGGTGTAGCAGGGAGAGGCTGGCGTTCAGAGTGAGTTGAGACTCAATTCAGCTCCCAGCTCTGCTGCTTTCTGGCCTGATGATCCTGGGTAAGTTATTTCTCATCTCGGCACCTCATTATCATCTGGAGAAGTTGGAATATGGCAATGATACCCATGGCCGTAGTTAATCATGACAACTAAGTGTGATAACAGCTTTAACTTCTGCCCAGCTAACTCCAGCTAGTTCCTCATGTGTCCCTGACTTATTGGTCTTTTTCTTCAAAAAATATATGCTCTAGAGCCAGGTTTCTCAACTTCAGTGCTATTGACACCTAGGGCCGGATCATATTTTTCCGTAGGGGGATGTCCTGTGCATTGTAGGATGTTTAGACATATCCTGGGCCTCCACCCACCAGATGCCAGTAGCATGTCAACCCCAACTGTAACAACCAAATATATCTCCAGACCTTCCCAAATGTCTCCTGGTGCAGAGTGGGGGGTGGAAGGGAATCACTCCCTGTTAACCTCCAGAGTTGCATTATTCAATAGAAATAGAATTTGAACTATGTGTACAACTTTAACATTTTTAGTCATCAGAAAGTAAAAAGAAACATGAAATTCATCTTAATAATGTAATTTATTTAACCCAATATATCCAAAATATTATCATTTTAACATGTAAGTAATATTTTTAAAACTATTGGTGGAAGATTATTTTACATTCTTTTTTTGTACTAAGTCTTTGAAATCTGGTGTGTATTTTATACTTTCCAGGTCAGATGCTAAGTTTTAAAGTTATGAAATATAGTCCAAAAAAGATAAAAATTGTGTTTAGTGAGTAAACGTATCTTATACTGCTTCACTTTTTAAATTTAAATTAGTTGAAATAAAATAAGTTTTAATATTCAGTTCCTCAGTAGCACTAGCTGCATTTCAAGTGCACAGCAAACACCTGTAGCTTAGTGACTACCATTTTAGACAGCGCAGATCTAGAGGTAAAAATGTCTTTACCATCTTTGCCCCCAGTCAGTGAACAGAAGTCTATATGCACAGAGTAGAGGCTCAGTAAATGTTCGACTCCCTTTATTCCATTTCGCTTCCCAGGGGACATTTGGCAACATCTGGAGATGTGCTTGGTTGTCATTACTCAGTGTGAGGGATTACAGGCATCTAGTGGGTAAAGGCCAGGAATACTACCATTGGGAGAAATAACGTAAAAATCTTTTTTTAAAACCAGGATTCGTACAGGATTGGGAGTTTTTCTGTAGTGGGTTAACTTGAGGCTGTAGTGGACAAATGACTAGTTAATTAACATTTCACCTGAGAGGACTCAGTCCACCCAGGCCCACGATGGCAGAGAGAATGTCCCTTCTCAGACCCGTCCTATAGCTCAACCCAGCCTCAAGGGGGTGGTCAGGGCCTCCAGGCCCAAAAAGACTCTGCAATGTCCAGTCTGGAGGCTTGGTGTGGATGCACAGAAGGTCATCGCAGGGGCAGATCTGGAGTCACTGCCTTGTCCAGGCCAAGTGCCCAGTGTCTGTTCTCCTCAAAGGGCTCTGGGGCAAGCCCTCATCAGGAGCCCAAACTCTCTTCCTTAAAACTAGGAGACCTTGAGCTAATCACACATCTATGAAGTAATAACAGTGAGTCCCTGCACAGCCGTGCTCAGTCGTGGTCGGGGCCAAAAGAGGAAAGGGATGCGATCCTAGCCCGCCTCCAGGTTTGAGATGGTGTTGGATATAACTCCCCTTAGCTTTCCTTTCTTTCCTGTGTGCCTCATGTTAAAACTCTCCATGCTCATTTTCCTGGTAATTCTGTGAGTGGGGGCCTTGCTGCAATGACAAGATTTAGACTATAATGGACTCACGGGGAATGCAACTGCCCCAAAGCATCTTTTCCAGGGACAGCTTGTAAATTCTGGACCCAAGTCGAAAGAATGTAAGACTTTGGGACAAGGCTGTATAGGCCTAGAGAAGATGAGGAGCAGCACAGCAGCCTCCAGAGGTCACTCCCTGGGCCCTACACGCTTAGACACCCTGAGGTTTCAGTCGCCTTCTCAGGGAGCTTGTGTCCTCTGTCCAGGGTGGAGAGCTGGTATGAAAACAGGAGCTGGAGTCAGGAGAACCAGGTGAAGCTCCATCCTGCACACCCACCGTGAGTCCCAGGACTGTGCTCGGTGAGGGGAGTGAGAAGACAAGCAGTAGGGGGAGTATAGCCTGCCAGACTGGCTGGAGAGAGGTGGCAGCTCTGGGTGACAATGACATCAGGAGGGTCCAACAAGATTGATGAAAAAAACAATAAAACAGCAAATATGTATTACATACTTCCAACATTCCATGGACCGTGCTGCGTGTTTCCCGTTATTAACTCATTCAAACTTCCTAACGACTCTGCCAAGTAGGGTGCTGTTAGTATTCTTATTTTCAGATGAGGAAACTGAGGCTCAGGTGATTAAACACCATTCAACTCAGAAATGACGAAGCCAGAATTCACACCTGGGCCTCTCTAGATGGGCTGTAATGGTACTCATCATGCTCTGTGCCCATGAGCCAAGCCCTGGGAAATACTATACCAAGTGGTTCAGGACTGTGTCTCAGAAAGACACATAATTTACCAGCTGTGGGACTTTAAGCCATAAAGTTGCCCCATTTCTCTATCTGCAA